TCAATCATTTTGTTTTAAATGACTTTCTGTAACTCATTCATACTAGAAATGGAGGGTAGAAGGGAAGCTGGGAGCTGGAGAAGCTGCAGTTTGCAAGTTAGGCTGGATCAGAGGTGAGATGATGTCTCCTAAAGTAGTAGGTGAGCTCTGAACTGTGCAGCAGTTTGTGGATTTTGCCAGATTTTTCAAGGTGTCCTTGTGAGCCAGAAAGTCATGAATGATTTCTTTGGGATCCAGTGAATGGACGTGTTGATGAAGTGAAATATCTCTTCAAATCCTGCTGCAGAAATGGCAGCTGGAGCTGCTCATTGTTTTCTTGCTGCCCTTGAGAAGGACATTGGAATCACTCACCCCTTGTCCACCCCTGGCTCTGGGATCTCACCTCACTCTGGATAGAAAGAGTGACAGAATGATAGAAAGGTTTGAGTGGGAAGGGACTTTAAAGTCCATCCAGCCCCAACCCCTGCCATGGGCAGGGACATCTTCCACTATCCCAGGTTGTTCCAAGCCCTTTCAACCTGGCCTTGGACACTTCCAGGGATCCAGGGGCTTCCAGAACTTCCCTGGGCAACCAGTTCCAGTGTCCCACCTCCCCAGCTGTGAGTTGGGAACAGTCTGGAAGGTGAAGCTGCCTGAGGGATTCAGGTCCTGAGCCTTTGGTCTCCCCTGTTCAAGCAAGGTGCTGGTGGTGGGGCTCCTGGGTCTTTCACACACTCCAATGATCTTGGAAATCATTGTGGGGCGATGGTTGCTCTGGAAATGCCAACCTAGGGGATGATCAGAGATCATCTGTCCCTCTGGTTTGCTACAGTCACAGCCTTGGAAGCACAGCAGCTCCTAGATGTCCATCAGGTGTGTGCACAGGCTTCTACAGGAACCTTACTTTTATACCTTCAATATTCCAAAGAACCCAAAGTCTAAATACGTCATACTTAATAGCTTAGTGTTCAATATTCAGGTCTCCCCTGAACTTCTTGCATGAACTTAGATGTCACAAGCCCACATCTTCAAAGACATTTAGGAAGCTCCCGCTTCAGCTGCATGAGACCTCACTTCCAGCTCCAGCTCCCGCTGATAAAATGTGCTTCATCACATATGGAATCACAGAATATCCTGAGTTGGAAGGGATCCACAGGGATCATCCAGTCCAACTCCTGGCCCTGCACAGCACACCCCAACAATCTCACCCTGTTCCTGAAAGCATTGTCCAAACACTCCTTGAGCTCTGGCAGCCTTGGTGCTGTGCCCACTGCCCTGGGGAGCCTGTTCAGTGTCCAACCACCCTCTGGGGGAAGAACCTTTTCCTAGTATCATATATTTTCCTAAGGTATGGGATATAAGTCCTTAAAACAACAGGCATCTCTGTTACATCCATATATTGCTCTGGCACAGTGAGGCCAAAATATCAGTCAAGCCGGGACCACTTCCAGAATTTAAATTACTCTAAACTGGCTCACAGTGCCCCAAAATTAAAGACACTTTGCTTTTGTTCATCCTCTGTCTGCTGAAACCCTTTTTGTGTTTGGACAACACTCTCAGGCACATGCTGGGATTCTTGGGGTTGTCCTGTGCAGGGCCAGGAGTTGGACTTGATGATCCTGATGGGTCCCTTCCAGCTCAGGATATTCTGTGCTTCTGTGACATTTGCTGCAAAACCTTGAATCCAAGTTCCACCTCAATGAAAGACCCTCACTGATGTTAGGAAATAACCTTGAGAAGTCTGTCAGGCTTTCCAAGGATGGAGAAGAGGTGGCAGGAGTAATCACATCCTGGTTTACCACGGAGCTTTCAACCTTCAGCACTGTCTGGTCCCTTCATTGCAGTGAATAATGTCAAGGCTTTGTAATTGGGAGGCTGTGTGGACTTTGCCTTTTCCAGATATTTTAGCAGCAGCACAAAAAGCTGACTGTTCCCTGGAGGGCCACGGTCAGTTCTCAAAACTTTCAGCTCGGAAAGCTGAGCGGAATTAATTAGAGTTTATGTTCCAAAAAGGAAAATAAGACCTCAGATGTGCCTTATTTGCTTGATGTTCTTTCTCTTTTCAGCAGACGACCCTTAGGTGGCTTCCCTTTCAGTTGCAGCTCCTTTGTTTTTTGTAGTTTCTTTCTGTATTAATTAGAAGGTCTGACACTTACAGCCCGAGACATTTACCAGCGTGGGGCAGTTTTAATTAATCTCGCAATAAAGCTGCTTGAGGTGAACTCATAAAGGGTCTCAGACAGCAGGAATAACATGTCACAATGCAAACACACTCTGGTGGGACTGACAGGCTGTGGAAGCTCTTACCACACATCTGTGGTCTCTGGGACAGCAACACAAGCAAGGTGTGCTCCTAAACAACATATATCCCACAAACTACCCTAAATTCACTGAAAGGAAAACATTTCTGCAAAGATGAAGATCTGGATTCCCAGTAGGTTCCTCTCAACTCTGAAAGGAGCTTGGATATCCTTTGATGGCTAATTAAATAATAATAATAATAATAAAACCTACAGAGACCACTTTTTATCTACTCTTTTTGCAGCAATTTGCAAACAAATAGCAAATTTCAGTCCTCTAGGACCTCTCTCTTGTACATATATCATAGCCACAAGTGGCTTATGAGCCAGAACATTCAAACCCAACATCATCAGACGTTTGAAAAGTGCATGTTCTGATCTAAACTTCTTAATCAGGGCTCAGTTCTATAAGACAGATGTAAATGAGCTCAGAGATGAGAAAAACTACCTCCAGCTAATGAGGACAAATCAAGCAGCAGCGTATCTTAAAATGAGGGTAGTTTGGGGAGGAACTGCAGAGCCAATCCCAACCGTGTCCACAAATTTCTAATTCCAAGGGGGAGATTACAGAACCAGTTACATCTGGATCGAGGAATGGCAGGTTGACAGTCTTTCATAACTTAATTATCTGCCTCTTCTTGGAGTACTCTGGTGGTCAAGCCAGGTGTGATCCAGGAAAAGTAACGCACAATATATTTTTCTTAGGTGGAAGAAAGAGGTGGGAATGGCTGACATAATAAATTATAAGGTCTGCAACTCTTGATATATTCTTGTAAAAAAATTCTATGTATTTTTGGAAGTTGGATGCAACACGGACTGTTGGGCTCAACAAGTCTAATTTGGTGTAATCTTGCAGCATAACATTTATATTTGATGAGCATTTTGATACCTTCTTGACCTGAAGCTTAAGGAAGCTGGAACAACTGCATTGATGGCCAAACCATCTCACCTTTGAAATTCTTGATAGAGTCATAGGTTCATGTAGGTTGGAAGAGACCTTTAAGATCATCTAATCCAACCATTAACTTCTCACTGCCAAGTCCACCATAATTACAGAAGCTTGAATGACTCCATCCCTCTCTTGATCCTCTCACTTTTGCTGCTCTCTCTGTCCTGATTATTTTCTTATGCTCATGGCAATAGATTCAGTTTGAGAAAAGTGGTTTTGTGTTGGGTTTTGGTTGTTTGGTTTTTTTTCTCCCCAATCTCACATTTTTCATTAAAAGCTTTCAGTTGGTTTCTGTGGGTGACTTGGCACAGGCAATGGTGCAACGATAAATAAACCTCCTGATATTTCTACCTGAGGTTTTCTAAAGCTGCTGCCACTTGTCAAAGGCAAAGCTCCACATTTTCAGCTTTTGTTCACAGACTATCAACTACCACGTGGGACTTGTGTATAGGGGTGGGAAAGACAATTTCTGATCCAAATAGAAAAGGTCTCCATACACAGCTGGAATTTTGCGTGATATAAATTTATATTTAAAATTTAAAAAAAAAAAAAAGCCGGTTCTTGGTTCATTCACAGGTGGAATCAGGATGGATCTTAATCTGTCACTTCACAGCTCAAACTCTGCTGAATGTTGTGCCAAGTGAAAAACTGTCACCGGGATCCAGGTGTATCCCCTTGTCATTTGTCACGAGTAACTGTTCTGCAGTTTACAGCTGGCAGTTCTCAGTGGTGTTTCATCAGGATAATACCACACTATATCATCTGAAGGAATAAACTCTCCCTGCTGACAGGAGCTGGGGTGAAGACACCAGCAATTGACTGGATATTAGAGAAGCTCTCTGAAGTTTATTCAGTGGAAAAGAGACTTATCAGGTCATCGGGCCCAAACTGTGTGTTTGGCTTCAAAAGATCTAAGGGGCTTGCAAAACCTAAGAGGAATCAAAAGGCACTGGTCTGTGAGACAGGAGGTCAGGCTGGGCAGTCCCTTCTGCCTTTGAAATCTCTCACTGAAATACTTTAATTAAAAAGGAAAAAATGAAAGAAAAATAGATAATAAAATGCAGCGTTTTGGCAGTAGATGGGTGTTTCAGGTCCACATCTGATGCCTTCTGAGCTGCAAAGGCAGGGTGACAGCAAGGAAATAGCCAGCCTGGTAGGCTTGGTCCTTTTCCTGCAGGGAGCAACGTCTCCAGGACTGGTAGAACTGATGGTTGGGAAGATGCACAATGGAGAGAGGCACTGGAGAGTGGAGCTAACACTCTTCTGGGACCAGGAGTGGTGGTGGCAGTGGGGAGTGGTGGTGCAGGAGGTCATGGGAGGGAGGCAAAGACATCACAAGACCTCAGTTCTCCCAGGAAGCCAGAAAGCAACAGGACCCACAACCAAAGTGGGAGAGAGCACTGAGATCCAGTGGGCTGAACTTGCTGCAGAAGATCACACCTTGTTAAGTTGTCCCGAGGTACCAGGTCCCCACAGCCTGCCTGATGTGCTGATTCCCTGGGAAACTGTGCAAGTGAGCTCATTTGGCAATGAAGGGTGGAAGGCCATGGGGAAGAGGGGAAGGCCAGAGGGGATGAGATGGTCTGGACAGGGATTGCACCAGGCTGAGCTCTGGAGCAAACTGCATCCACATCCCCCAGGCCTGCTGAGCTCTGCATAGATGTCCCTCTGGGAGGGCAGGCACCAGGGGAAGAGGACAGGGAGGGCTGCACCTCCACCAAGTCATTATGGGCTGTGAAAAGCCTGACAGGTTGTCCCCTTTCCTCCTGCAGCTCACCCGGGTGCCCGTGGAGTCGTGCAGCCAGTACGAGACCTGCAGCGAGTGCTTGGGCTCAGGAGACCCTCACTGTGGATGGTGTGTCCTTCACAACACGTAAGTACCTGCTGGTGCTGGTCACCAGCCCAGCCCTGCTTTTCCACCCACCATCTCCCCTCAGTGCCTGTGGTAACACAGGGTAGAGATGAAAAATGATGTCTCACCTGAGCCAGGTGAGCTGAGGAGTCCCTCAGGTACCTCCAGCAAGGTCTCTGGGGCTTTCTGGGGAGGGCTTGGTTTAACTGGGAAGGATTTTTTCGGAAGGCAAGGGGAAAGAAGGATGGTAGAGACCGGACAGACCTCCTCCATCACGTGATCCGTGGTGTGCTGACTGCACCAGGAAGGCACCTGTCCAGCCTGAATCAAACCCTCCAGCAGCCCTTCAACATTTACCTTGTTTCCATTCCTTAAGGCAATTTGGCTCTGACTGGGTGCCCTTGTCTCAGCACCTTAGCTTTCCACTGCTGACCTGAACCTCTCCCCTTATGGATTTGTCATGATCTCCACTGCTCTTAGGGAGGAATCAGATCCCTGTAAGCATCGTGGGCTCCACTCTAAGTTAATTTTCAAGGGGACCTTATGGTTTGCGTGTTCACTGTGGGAAAGTGTTGGCCCTGAAGTTGAGGGTTTGTCCTGTGGTCAACACAACTGGGCCAAATGAGCACAAAGGGGTCAAACTGCTCATTTGTCTTATCTGGACAGGATGAGGAGAAAATGTGTCTCTGCCCATATTCTTGGGCTTCTTTATAGAAGGGACCTAATTTCACTATTTCATTATTGTGTTGTACTGGCTTATGCTCCTCTCAAGGAGCACTGGAGCCAGGTGTCCTCAGGACCGGGACATTGGCTCACTGGCATTGTTTTCTTAAGGAATTTTAACGATGTTATTGATCTTGAAGTTTCCTCTCTTCAGCCTTTCCCTGCCAGCGCTCTCCTCCTGCAGAGAGGCCTCTGGCAGAGCCGTGGAGAGGGAGGTGTCAGGTTGGCTGAGCTCCTGGTATGAGTGGCAGGGTGGTCTCATCTGCCAAGAACCTCTCGGCAGAGACAGTGGCTGCAAAGTGCATTGGATCTGTCCGCCCAGACGTCTCCAGCTGAGCGTGGCTCTGCAGGGGGCTGTCACTCCAAGCCTCACGGTGTCCTTGGCAGCCTTGGAGGGTTTTTCTGATGGACACTGCTGTTGCAGTGTGTTTGTCTTCTCCTGCTGAGTTCACCTCCGAGTCCTTCCTGTTGCATCGCAAACTCTCCTGGAAGAGGCAGTGATCCAAGTTGAAGTGATGCTCTTGCAACCTCTCCTTTCTAGAGCAGAAGGGAACAAACCTGTGCCATATTGCAACCTTCTGTTAATCCTCGTCAGCTTGTGTGACCCTCACCCAAAACCATGACAGTCTGTTTAATTTCAGATCAGCTCTTAGGGGATACATCCCAAAACATGCCCAAAAACGTGACTCATGCTCTGGAATTGTCCAAGGGATCCTTGGCAAACCAATCCTGAGTTGTGGCCTGGTCAGTACGAGCCCATGAAACTTTCATGCTGCTGACCTGAGGATATTTCCATTTGATGTACAGCTCTATAGGATGTCTCCATCCCATCTTACCCTGCATCCTTCCTGCAGAACCCCATGTATTTGCCCTCAGTGGAGGACAAGCAGCGTAGGAAAGGGTGAATTTGGCCATTGATTGTACCACAGCAATGCTGGATATTTCATCTCCTTCCATCCAGGGTCACTGGCAGGGAGCAATCAATACCTCCAGCAATAAATCCCCAAAAGGAGAGAAAAGGGGCACAGAGAACTGCAGGGTGTGCAGCAGCTCACTGTGAAGGAGTATTAAAAATTAAATGGCTGGTGATGAGTGGGATTGGCAGCATTGACTTGGTGAAAACAACCAAAAAATCATCTTATAGACTCAATCCTTCAGGGAGAAGTTTGGCCTCACAGTGTGGACCTGGCTGATGGTGCATCCCTGTGCCCTCCTCCCTCTGGCCACTTAACCTCTGTTTCCTTATCTGGAAAAGAGAAACACCTCCTATTTATGTGCTTTTCAGGAGGGTCGCTGAGATTAATTCCCTGTGGGGTTTTTTGAAGCAGTTTGAAGGCAAATGTTATCAAATCCCACCTCAGTCTTTTCCTTTGCTCTAGTTGCCATTGCAGTTAAGCAATCTGATTTTCAATCCTAGTTTGGAAGGGGTTTTCAGTCCAGCCTCAGGTGCCTCAGGCTTTCTGGATCTCAGTTTTCTCATTCTTTCAGGTAGTCCAGAGAGTCAAGAAGACAATTACACCCCCTTCAACAAGTTTTGGCTGCACAGTATATTCAGGGTAAATTAGAATTTTTTGAACATCAGAACATCTAAATATTGTTTAATAGACTTTTTCTCAAGTGGAATGTATCACCAATGACTCCTGCACGAGGATCCATGGGGAAACATTTCCCCTCCTGACTGTTAACCCTTCCTTCTTCCCTCCCAGTCACATCCCAGGGATCCAGTGCATGGCTGAATCCAGCCAGGCTGATGTGGGAGCTTGTGGAAGGAATGGAGGAGGCAGCTGGGCTGGAGGAACCCATTTGTTAATTGGAGAATGATTCATTTAGATTTCAGAAGCTCTTCTTTTGGGGTTTTATTTCAGTATTTAGTAAAGGCTTGGGGTAGAGAAGGACTGGGAACCAGACTATGGGCAAAGCCATGCTGTTCACTCATCTTTTCCGTCCTCTATAAACCATCCTCCAGTATAAACCTTCCTCCAGCAAAAACCCAGTTGGGCTGGGGGAACCCATTTAGTAATTGGAGAATGAGTCATTTAGATTTCAGAAGTTCTTGTTTTGGGGTTTTATTTAAGTTTTTGGTAAAGATCTGTGGTAGAGAAGGACTGGGAACCAGACTGTGGCCAAAGCCATGCTGTTCACTCATCTTTTCCCTCCTCTATAAACCATCCTCCAGTATAAACCTTCCTCCAGCAAAAAACCAGTTGGGCTGGGGGAACCCATTTAGTAATTGGAAAATTATTCGTTTAGATTTCAAAAGTTCTGGTTTTGGGGTTTTATTTCAGTTTTTAGTGAAGGCTTGAGGTAGAGAAGGACTGGGAACCAGACTGTGGCCAAAGCCATGCTGTTCACTCATCTTTTCCCTCCTCTGTAAACCATCCTCCAGTATAAACCTTCCTCCAGCAAGAACTCAGTTGGGCTGGGGGAAGCCATTTAGTAATTGGAAAATGATTCATTTAAATTTCAGAAGTTCTTGTTTTGGGGTTTTATTTCAGTTTTTAGTGAAGACTTGAGGTAGAGAAGGACTGGGAACCAGGCTGTGGCCAAAGCCATGCTGTTCACTCATCTTTTCCCTCCAGTATAAACCATCCTCCAGTATAAACCTTCCTCCAGCAAGAACTCAGTTGGGCTGGAGGAACCCATTTAGTAATTGGAAAATTATTCGTTTAGATTTCAGAAGTTCTGGTTTTGGGGTTTTATTTCAGTTTTTAGTGAAGGCTTGAGGTAGAGAAGGACTGGGAACCAGGCTGTGGGCAAAGCCATGCTGTTCACTCATCTTTTCCCTCTGGTATAAACCATCAAGAGGAACAGTGTGCACTGGGAGACAGGGGAAATCTACTTTTGGGGTTTTTTTATTTCTCCCACACCCATCTCTCTTATTTTGGGATTTTTGCTTCAGGGGTGACCCAGCCGCCTTTCCCAGACCCCCATTTCCAATCTCCCTCCTCCTGAGAGGTCTGAGATGCCCGGGGAAGGCTCCTCATCCCTCCTCTCCCGGCCGAGCCAGGGCTGTGTGTGCGGGGAGGGCGTCGTGCCAGGGCTCGGGAATCGATTTCCACGGCTCTGCTGTCCTAACCTTACACCGGGAAACTCGAGTCCGCCGAGAGAGAAGGAGACAGACAGACCCACAGACAGGAGAGGGGAGGGGGGAGGATTGATCGGCTGCTGCCCCGAGAAGAGCCGATGCAGAGAGCAGGTCACCGGAGCTTTTCATCTCCGTATCTTCGCCCCGATCTTGTCCCCCCCTCTCCCTCTCCCCGCCGCAGCTCCGCTCCCCTCCCGGGCTCTGCTCGGGGCTCTTTAGGCGGCGATGAATCATTTAGTTGGTGTAAATTGAAAATGTGGCTGCTGCAGGGGCCTCCCGGGGAGGGCGAGGGGCTGGGCTGGGCTGGGCTGGGAGCAGGAGAGGAGGAACCAGAGCTGAGAGATGGATGGCACCGAGGTGCCTGGCTGCAAGGTCGCAGCAATGTCACCGGCCCCAACAGGGGCTGCAGAGGGGGGTGAGAGCAGGGAAAAGTTTTCTGCAAGCCTGGACTGAATTCAGCTGCTTATAAGTCAGATCAGCAGCACTATTCAAAGATGCCATCCAGTATCTGACCATGCCTGAGAACCCCCCTGGCAAGTTGCTTCTGCCTCCATCCATATGCAGAGTACACCCTTCTCTTCCTCCTTTCCCACCCACGTGCAGAGGGGCAGCAATAGCTCAGGGTCTTTACCCCCAGAGGAGGGATGAACCCTTCAGGAGCTGAATGAGCCCTGGGCTAGGTCTAGATTGGATACTAGGAAGAAATTCTTTTCTGTGAGGGTGGTGAGACGCTGGCACAGGTTGCCCAGAGAAATTGTGGATGTTCCATCCCTGGAAGTGTCCAGGGCCGGGTTGGAGCAGTCTGGTCCAGGGGAAGGTGTCCCTGCCCATGGCAGGGGGTGGAACTGGATGATCTTTAAGGTGCCTTCTGACCCAAACCACTCTGTTATTCCATGCACATGCACTGCTCCAGGTGCACGTGGTCACCACGAAGGTTTTCAGCCCTGAATGGTGTCTCTGCTTGTGTTTAACCCCCCATCTGCCAACAGAATGGAAATCTAGGGCAGAAGAGCAGCATCATTTTATTTATCACTTAGAGACAGGCAACATTTTATTGCAGGAAATACACTGACCTTGCTGGGTGCAGAAGGGACCTGTCCCAGGCTCTTTTGTGTTAGTGCCACTCGTAGATTTTGGCTGTGCTGTCTCATTTCATCCTTTTTGCAGCGTCCATTTAATTCTGAGAGGAACAACTGAACATACTCAAGCTGTC